GGGGGGTTTAGTTTAGTTTCTTACACAAGATTTTAAAAAGCAACCAACCCCTTCGGGGGGATTGGTTGCTTTTTAAACACTTGATCAAGCTCCCCCGAAAGGGGGTTGGTCAAGTGTTTTAACCCTCCATTCGGGGGGTTTAGTTTAGTTTCTTACACAAGATTTTAAAACGCAACCAACCCCCCCGAAGGGGTTCGTTGCTTTTTAAAAACTTGACCAACCCCTCCGAGGAGCTCCGGAAGGAGCGTTCTGCCCTAGTAGAAAATATTTTCAAACTCTGTGATGTTACTCATGAATGTCTTGGATATCTGTTTTGACCATTTGTCCCTATCTGAATATCCATACCAAACCTGCACACTGCGGTATGTTTCTTTTTATTTGCAAAAATATCCCAACAGTGATTTCTAAGAACCTGAAGATTAAAGTGTACAAAACAATAATTTTGTCTGTTGTTTTGTATAAGTACAAAACATGGTTCTCACTCTGAGGGAGGAACATAGATTGCAGGTGTTTGAGAATAGGGTGTTGAGGAGGATGTTTGGGCCTAGGAGAGAAGACGATGGGGCGTGGAGAAAACTGCATAATGATGAACTTAAAATTTTGTACTCCTCCCCCAATATTGTCAGGGTGATTAAGTCAAGAAGAATGAGATGGGCGGGGCATGTGGCACGCATGGATGGGGTAAGAGGTCTGCACCGGGAATTTGTTGAGAAGCCTGAGTGGAAGAGACCGCTGGGGAGACCTAGACGTAGATGGGAGGCTAATGTCAGGCAGGATCTATGAGAGATAGGAGTTGAAGGAGACTGGATTTTGTTGGCCCAGGACAGGGTCCGGTGGAGGGCTTTGGTTAATTCAGTGATGAACCTTCAGGTTCGGTAAGCCATCTAGTTAGTTAGTTAGTTAGTTATTCCAACAGTGAAAGAGACTAGGTTGGTTAAGTTTACATTTTAATTAGGTCCTCATTACTTAATGTTTCTTTGTTGGAGTCAGAACACAAGTGAATGTACACAAATGCATTAAATTGTATTAGGAAAATATTGTATGTTGTTATTGAATATTGCAAAAAAATGGTTAGCACTTCTGCAGTTGTATTGAGATGATCCTGAGCTCAAATCTCAGCTTTGAGATCAACCATCTAGACTGAGATTTTTTGTGAACTTCCTCAGGCCTTCTAGGCATATGTTGGCATAGTACCGACATCTTTTCCAGTTCTCTCACTTTCAACTCTACATGCAGTGGAAAATGTGTCAACACTGCAGTCTGTCATGTTATAGCATTGTGGGTTCGATTGAGAGTTGACTGAAGGTGAACTTTGCTTTGTTAGTTCCTTTGTTGAGAAGTTTGTATTGTGTTTATTTGTATCATAGTGGAAGAAATCCCTATATGAGACAATGTTTTCTGTTTTGTGTATAGTAAATATATTGAACATATTCAGAAATTGAAGCATGCAGTTTCAGTGTTTAGCTTTCAATTTTTTATGTTAGGTGTATGTCCGTCATCCAGAACTTGCTGCTGCCAAAGCCAACAGAGACTATGTCTTCAAACAAGTGTGTGAGGCTGTGAACACCATTTCGGACGTTGCTCAAGGAAAGGGGCCGACTGTTCCTCAGCAGCCATTTGATGGTCCTGGTGAACTGGCTGCAGCTTTGGATGACTTTGATGTAAGAACTGTGTTATCATTTTAACTAGCCGTTTCCTTGTTACTTTGAGTGGCCCACAGCCCACCATCTTTTCTGAGACTCTGAGCATGTCAGTCTATTCTACACAAGGTATGCCGCAGGTCCCAACAAAGAATAGACACAATATATATACCTAAATATGAGATATGTTTTTCATATTATGGAAGCAAGAGATTCATTTACAGCTTTTTTGTTAAACCTCATTGACTATAATCACTTAAATATATGGAAACATTGTTAAAATCTGGTTTAGGAAGGTAGGTGATAAGAATATGAACTGGATTTGATGGGTTCAGTGGTGGGCTTCATTGTGTTCTATTACTATTATGTTAGATGCCTTGGCAGTAATTTAATATTTCATTGTTGAATTGTACCTTCATCTAGACTTTCACTCTCCTTGTATGTATTTCCATATGTGAGCTTGTGATGCTTTCTAACCTTTCTGACTATCTGTTGGAAAGTTTAAAATTGTCTCTCCCTCATTTTGGGCTAGCTCTGCCATTTTTCTCTCTGATTACTGTTCCACTGCTTGGTAGGTTTGCAGAATGAATTTATTCAAACCATCCTATCTGTATTTTCTCCAGTTCTTCATATGCAGAAGCTTTTTTTGTTAGTAATTTGTTCCACATCTACTTTCAGTTCTGTACTTGGTTGACATAGACTGTTTTTCATTAAGTAACATAAAGATGATGGTTCGTGATATCATTTTTGTGTAATTTATGTTGCTGGTATGTTTGGATATTTTCCACTTTGTGGATATTTTTATTTTTAATGATTATCAGGTTGTTCTTCCGTAGTTATAATGAAGAAGGAACTAAAGAACATTTTCTGCAGTGAGAAATAGAACAACTTGGATGCCACAAGTGGTGTGGCAGCAGTTTGTGTTCATTATCTTTGTGATCTTGCAGTTATAGTTGTGGGGTAATGATTTTTGGCAGAGAAGATATTTGAATTTTGATCACCATTGCACTAAATTAGAGTATGAGTTTTGGAAGGTTGAATACTTTCTTTCGCTAATTGTTGGTTATTTAGTAAGTCAAAATTTGTTAATTACAGGACAGTAATACATTGTTTTTATTGACCTTCAGCTGGGACAAGAAGTAATATTCACTAAATACAGGCGTTCACAAAATGTGGGCCCCCTTAATCAGGATTTTGTAGTTTCCAAGCATGTAATGACATACTCAAACTTGTAGTCCTCTTGAGTTGTTTCAAATAATCACTTACGTGTAGGAACACATCGTTATGGACCCTCTGGCTTATAACGAAGTCCGTACCAGACCTTCACTGGAGGAACGCTTGGAGAGTATCATCAGCGGAGCAGCTTTAATGGCTGACTCATCGTGTACACGTGATGAGAGGCGGGAAAGAATTGTTGCAGAGTGTAATGCTGTACGTCAAGCGCTGCAAGATCTGCTGTCAGAATACATGTCCAATGTAAGTGTCTTCACTGCAGTATAATCTGAAGTAGTCATACAACTATTTATCATTTCAGTAGTACCATTTGGAAGGTAGATTTGAAGGGAAAAAGTGCTTGTTGTATGTCACTTCTTTTACCATTTCTGGTACATCATTGGAACAAGACTGAATTAAGCTTCCTGTAAGAGTACAATGAGCATGTAGCATTATTGTTAATGAATTCTACCATTTTGTTAAGTTTACTCACTTCCAGGGCAAATCATTGAAGGACTTCCAATTTCAAGATTCTTGTTCTGTGTCGTTGCAGTCCGCTATAGTCGAGGACTGGGTTCTTTTGTCATTAGAGTAAATCAGTGGCCCCCAAACTGACAGTTTTGGACTACTGTGTCTTACTTAATTTAAGAAGTGCAGAATTTTAATGAATGTTTCAAAATATTTCTCTTGAAAAATGTTCCTTGTTTTACAGTAATATTGTATTTGTAATATTTAAACTGACTTTATTATTTTACTGGTGTTGAAGGCCTTTTTCTTCCCTTGCAAAAATTAATACTTTTCACAGTTTGATTAAAATGCATGCAGTGTGGCATGACCACATGAATTTTAAATTTTTTAATTTGTTGTTGGGTTTGGGGGGGATGAAGTAATTATGTTATTGAGCTGAACAGATGGATTACTTTGGACATTCTGGGATTTAGTCTCAGGGCTTGCTCTCCACAATTAATTTTATTCGGTTTTCTCAATTCCTTTAGCAAAATGCTGTCTAAAGTCTTTTAAAAGAATCAGCCACTTCCTCCTCAGACAGCCTCCTTTCTTAACCAACATTTATCCAGTTTTTGGCAAGACAAGCCATCACTCATCCACTGTTATGTATTGATTTTACAATATGCACTGGGCAGAATGGATCACACCTCCATTCTTTTAAATCCTCTGCCTTTCGTAGAAATTTATAAGGAAAAACATTATTTTGGAGTCATTATGGGTAACATGTGGAGGGCTGATTTCATATACTTTCCTTCCTGTTTTGAACAAGGATGTGGGGATTAAAATAAATGTGATGCAAGAGAAAGACAGGAGTGATATTTATGTGGTTGAATGAACTATGAATATGCTTTTGAATTTGTCATGCAATCTTACCTCTTGCTACTGTTTCTCTACTTCAGCTGTTTAACGTGAAAATGAGCAAAATTCTGTTCATCATATTGATATTAGTTAATGCATGGTTTCTAAGACTTCACTGAATCTATGGTATGTGTAAATAAAGAGATTTAATTAATAAAGTCAAGTAATCTAACCATTGGTACTTAGTATGCAGTAATACCCTGTTGAACCTTCAGGTTGCAGAATTAGGTGAATCAGTTTTCAACATGGTCATTATAACACACGTATGGCGAATGATCACATCTTACCTATGGCGTTATATTTGGTGGCTTAACTTGACTACTGGTATAGTTAATTGATTAATGAATAAACCTGGCTCTATGCAAGCATATAATTCATTGCAGTATCATTTAATAGTCTCAAGAGTGTTTCAGTAAAATTGAAAAATACATTGTACAATGTTCAGTGATAACATGGTGCAACATTATAGGTGTAAATAATTTTATAATATACCAAAAATGATAAGTAAAGAAGTGTTGCATGCATTTATGTGTTTCATCTCAAGCAGATTAGATTATTTGTAGACTATAATAGGCCATATATCCCTGCCAGCACTTATCAATGTGGGTGTATGTCTTTCAAATTTGGTGGTTTATTTAGATTTACAGAGTGCTTAATAGCGAATGACCATTCATTTGGGCAGTTTTCAGCAGGGTATTGCTGTACGCACATAATGTGTTGTTTCCTTATCATTTTCAGTTACAAGTTCAGAAAGCATGTGTTACTTACTTGTCAGTAAGGGTATATTTTTTAATTATGTATGTAATGAAAATTTTGATTTTTATTATATTTTTCCTCTGTTTCTTTTCTCTTGGTCTAAACCAGTTACAAGCTGCAAGGGGAGGGAAACGCGGGGTAAATATGAACCCCTGTCAGTGTGTTAAAAGTGTGTGTGTGTGTGCGCATTGGTGGATTGTTGGCAGTCCTGGTGCAAGTGTTTTAGATAGTTATAACCACAGTGTCCAGTCTCTTACATGTCTGCACCCTCTTGCACTTGTGCTGTTGCGCTCTACTGCCGTGCTCTCTAGTTTGAGTATGTGCCATCACCCTTTTTCTATGGCTGTCGATACTACTACTTGTAATAGGGATTACTTTCATCCTGTTTCAGAAATTCTGTGCATATTTGAAAGCTATTGATGAGAAAGGGATAAGAATTATGTGATAAAGGTTTGTCTTGATTTATATATATCATGGTTTGAGGAATGCCAATTATATGTGAAGTAGTACAGTCATTGAGGAGGGTCCTTGAAGGGAATCATGAGGGATACAGGCCACTGGTCAAAGGCAGGGCCAAATTTGATTGGGGTCTTATCATTTTGAAGCTGTTATTTTGTTATCCAATTACTGTCACCATTCAAACATATGCCTCATATGCCCATTTTGTATAAAACACTCGTGTGTGGTGCTCTATCACAGTTTTTTCCGGATATTTAAATTGTAAATTATATTTTACAATGTTTTACTTTGATAGATGTTGCAGGGCCATTTGTTTCTACTACATTCTGCTACATTATAAGGAGTGAAGGAGTAATGCCACATTTTATTGCAACATTTTTTCTCAGTGTTATAATCATAGCCTTGGTATATGTTAATGCAGGGATTTATGAAAATGGATCATCATGGAAATATTGTTTACTTCACTCTTTGTAAAAGTGATTACATTCTGTAGTTCTGTTTGGTAAATTGTTTACAAAGTAAGCCTCTATCATCATATCAATAGATGTAGTTTGAATCTCAGGTATCAGTCGCAACGCCATAGCCATCGTGTGTCTGGCACATCACAGCATTCCTGTCATTACATTACATGGCTAAAAGCTTACATCACACATTATGTGTCATGCAGCGCTGATAGAGTAATTCTCATTGCATCACTTTAAATATAATATCTTCCATTTTCTCCTCAGATTTGTATTTTGTAGCTGTTAACTGGCCCTTTCAGAATTTGGCGATAAAGTTTACATGCACAAAGCTTCACAGTAAACCATTGTTATGCCATGAGAACTATGAACAGTTTTATTGTATTTTAATTTGCTGCAATGGAGGAGGTTAAAAATACTGCTAACATTGTGTGTGTGTGTGTGTGACTAGAACAATTGTATTGTTTCTTCTGATATATTTTTCTTCTTACATGTCATGGAGAAGCCTGTTCAAGTCCACCCAGCTGATCCTGTTATTACTGTCTTAATATTAGATGTAACAAAAGATTATCTTTATCACGTTTGTTATGAATATTCTGATCTCTTGAAATTGTTTTGTTCAGATTTTTATGCACATAATGAAATTATCTTGTAGAGAGAGGATGTGGGGATTTGTGTTAATATGCCACAAAGTTTCTGAACTGAATTTGCACTAATTACTACTGTCAGTGTCTCTGTAATTTCAGTAGAGATTCTGTTGTTTTAGAATGGCTCCATCAGCAGACACCTAAACAGCATAATATGAAATTAGAATTTTCTTGTTAGGAAAGTGTTCAAAGTCCTGTAAGTGCCTTGCATAAATCTGTTGGTGTTCCTGTAATTGTCTTTCCACACTATCAAGACTTATTTCTGCTTATGACTGTTTCTTGCTGTTTCATTGTTTGTCAGAAGCATAAACTGTCCTCCACTATGTATCTGTCTGCTAACATTGACTTGCCTTTAGATATGTTGGTGTCTACAAAAATTTGGACTCTTTGCTTGTGATGCATGATGTGGTATGGCAACCATTGTCATACCTGTGTATGATTCACCTAGAAGTGCACTGCTTACTACTTTCAACTTGCATTTCTTTCTTAACACGTTTCATGTTACAAAGTAAATCACAGCACAAGCAGTATGTTATGTCTTTAAACAGGAGTGAAGACGTACTCGGTTTCGAATAAAGCATTCAGTTTAATGTAAAGTGAAGGTTATATTGGACCAGCACAAACAAAAATCAAGATTGTCTGTCAATGTTTGGGGAAGACACCCAACACCAAATTTCATCAACTTTTCTTCATACCAAAAATTTATCAAAATTCTATTTATTTATTTTAGGGATGAAATATGGATGGAAGGATGGACAGACATACATTGCCTCCCTGTTGAGGGCTCATTTTATGAAATTTGTGCAGCAAATGTCTGCCAGTTTTGTGTATGGCAGGTCAAGATGCTGTGCTGTTACATTCAATGTTTAAACATGTTCACGTTTTGTGCAAACTGAATGTTGCTGCTTTTGCTAATTGCTAAGATACAACCAGTGCTTAATGCACTAAACATGTGACTTTTAAGTGTATTCCTTATATTGTTTAATGAGTGATTGGTACTCTTTCTACTTGAGCGTTGCTAATATGAAATTGAAGAACATTAGCAAATTTCTGATTCCAGAATAGCTTAGAAATTTGTCTTTAAAAGGAAAGAAAGTTAGATAACTTCCAATGAGTATATCAGAACTGGATATAAATTTTGGGATAAGGTGTTGATGTATTTATTTAATTTGTTAAGTACATTAAAAGAACCGTGAGACTTTGTTATACTGTATATTTCATTTCAAGTACAAGAGAGAATTTTGTAGACTTATTATTAGGTTTGGTTGAATGAAAGTATATAGGAATACCAAAAAATTCTTATCCAAATTTGCTGTACCATGTGAAGTGTTGGTCACAATTGTTATGATGAAATCAAAATCGACTTTGTATGCTAAATATATGTGGTACAACATTTAATCATAACCTGTAAGGTGGGTCATAAAATAAAATGTAGTTGTGAGGCTTGTACATAGTCATAGTTGATGTCAGTTAAATGCTTCTTGATATAGAAGCCAAGGCGGACAGTCACATTCGACTGAGAGAGGTGTTTTTCTGAGTAATCTGGTTTTTCGCTTGTTTGTTACCATACATAAGTATGGCAGTGGTTATAATGGGCATATTCTGGAAGCAGAACACTTCATATGTGCTTATGACAACAGTAATTAATCATTAGCGGTGATTGTTATTACTCATATGAATACTCCTTCTGAGTATATCAACATTGTAATTTATTTAGTTTCATATGATGAACAGATCCAATATCAGTTTATTCTTTTCAAGATGCAGAACATCAAACTTGTCTTAGTTGTGCAGTACCAACCTTACAAGGCCACTTTGGGATTATTATATGTTCCGTTATTATATTCAAGTATTTGCATTTAAAAATGTATGCAGTTATCATAAATTACCCTTTTTTAAAATTATGTAATGGAAATCTTAATTGTGTGATTTCTGCAAGGATTTATGGAAAAGGTATATCATGGAAGGTTTGACCTGTGAAATATTTTCTGTGAAAAGTTAGATAGTAAATTGAAGCATTTAAAGGAAACATAGTTGTTAACAGTTCTTACAAGGATTATTGTTTAAAATTGAATTATCTGAAATTAAACTATGACAAATAAATGGACAGAGAAAAATGGGACATTACTTAAGTTGGAACTTGTGTTGTTACACCACTGATAGACAAGACTGCTTGAGGTTCTGTCTCGTTACATTGCTTGAATGCTGAGTAATTGTTGTATGGTGTAGATGGGAACCAAAGAGCAGAGTGAGGGCTTGGAACGAGCTCTGGATCACATGTGTCGCAAGACGCGCGATCTTCGTCGCCAGCTGAGAAAAGCTGTTGTCGATCACGTTTCGGATAGGTGAGTGTATAGATAATAACTGGGTTAATAATGTTCCAAACTAAAATGACCAGTGTGCAATATCATGATGAGTGATATTTTGTATCATTACAGTTTTCTTGAAACAAATGTTCCTCTTCTGGTGTTGATTGAGGCTGCTAAAGCTGGTAATGAAAAGGAAGTGGAGGAATATGCACTGGTTTTTACAGAACATGCCAACAAACTAGTGGAGGTGAGTACTGTTTTGGCATTCTTCCTGCAGTCCTCCAGACTCGTTTGATAGAGTGCTTTGTCCATCTTCACAAGATGATGGTAAATTGTGTTTTCATTTGTCTATGCTACAGTTCATTATATATTGGAAAAACTGTAATTATTCTTCAGAATTGGTTGAAAACTCATTAGACTGGTCATTTAGCTTTGCTGCCATATTTTTAATGCACATTGAAATATTGAATTTGTTGCATGTTTTCTAAACTGTTCAGTGTCATTGTGGTATTGTGAGAGTTTTCAGTTGAGTGTGACATAAACTATAAGGTTAAATGATAAACCTGGTGGTGTAATGGAAACTTCCAGCTTAGAATATTTAATAAAATGTTATAATTGTAGGATTTGATGGCTGTCTTCTGGGTTGCCATGTGGGGAACTTAGATATACACGGTAGGACAAAAATTAGTCTCATAAAACTGGAGGATGAAGATGGTGACTGGGTGGAACTGGCTCAGGATAGTGTCCACCAGAGGCATGTTGATTATGGTATTGAAACATCATGTTCCATAATGGTGGGAAATTTCAGGACTGACTGAGTAACAATGAACTCTTCAGGAACACTGTGCTCCATGAACTTTGTTATTATGCATGGAAATATAGTAATTTACATGTCTCTGCATAATGGGTGTATGATCTTGCAGGTTGCAAACTTGGCATGCAGCATGTCTGGCAATGAAGACGGAGTGAAGATGGTGAGATATGCAGCTGCTCAGATTGAGAATCTCTGTCCGCAAGTAATTAATGCTGCTCGCATTCTTGCTGCAAGACCACGCTCTAAAGTGGCACAGGAGAATATGGATGTCTTCCGTGATGCTTGGGAGAACCAAGTCCGTATCCTTACTGAGGCTGTGGATGATATCACTACGATTGATGACTTCTTGGCTGTGTCAGGTAAGATACTTTGTCATGCAGTTGTAAGGTCCTGACACTGGTCTCTATATTGAGCCAGATGAGTCCAGTCTGCACCCTCCAACCTTGTTCACCCTTCTACGCCTGAGTCTTCTAAGTGGTGTCTTCCCTCCAGACTTTTCAACCAAAGTTTGCGTGCATTTCTCATCTGATGCATGCTGCATGCTCCACCCATCTCATCCTCCTTGATTTGGTTACTGTAATAATATTGTGTGAAGCCTTCATTATTATGCAGTTTTATCCAGCCTCCTGTCACTTCATCCTCTGGGTCCAAATATTCTCCTCAGCTTTTGTCCTCAAACACCATCAGTCTCTGTTCTTCCCTTAGTATGTGGGACCAAGTTTCACACCTTCCAAAACAATAAGTAATATAACTATGTATATTTTAATATCTCTCTCTCTATACACACACACTCGCGCGCACACACACGAGTAGCCAGGATCACTGCAGGAATGATAAAATTAAATGTCCCTGCCATGCTTAATATACTAAATGTGTACTATACAGTGAACTTAAATGTCATGGTGAATGTTAAGGGTTGACATGTGATATTTCCTTACAGAGAATCACATTCTGGAAGATGTGAACAAGTGTGTGTTGGCGCTTCAAGAGGGAGATGCTGATACACTTGACCGCACTGCAGGGGCAATTCGTGGTCGATCATCTCGAGTGTGTAATGTGGTTGGAGCAGAAATGGACAACTATGAGCCAGGAATTTACACTGAGCGAGTTCTTGAAGCAGTCAAAGTTTTAAGGGACCAGGGTTAGTATACTAGTCTTTTTTTTCTTGTGGTGTCTTGGCATGTTGAATTGTAAAATATTTCCTATAAAAATACTTTTATGAAGCATTTAGCAAGAATTTGGGTGTGTGGATTTAAGTTGCACATGTAGAAGTCTGGTCTACGCTAACTCGACTATGAGCTGTGTTAGTTTAATTGTCCGTAAGGTCAACACTGCAGTCAGAGTTCATGACACAAAGGAATGACTAATTATTATCCAGATAATCACTGATATTGACACTCAAATAAATACAAGTGTTTTGTTTGTATGTGTAGTGATGCCCAATTTTGCTCAGCGTGTGGAGGTGGCAGTGGATGCATTGTCTTCCAACCCGCCCAAAGATGTGGATGAAAATGAGTTTATAGATGCATCCAGGCTTGTGTATGACGGTGTGAGAGAAATTCGACGTGCTGTTCTCATGAACAGGGTGAGCAAGAACTTGTTACTAAATGTTCAGATCAGTTGGTACAGTGAAGATATACTGTACATTATGCTGTTGTAGACTTGAATTACTAATACAGAAATATAATTAATAGGGAGAAATATGTATTGTTTTCTTCCGTATGCTCTCTTTCTTATATTTGTTGGTATGAAGAGACAACAGTTCTTGTTAGCCTTACAGAGCATAACTGAAGTGTTCAGTTAATCTTCTTTGAATGAAACAGTATATTTATTCATGTAGGTCTTGTATGACTGCGGTATGGTAGAATAGCCCATTTTCTCATTTGTGTGTTGTTGTTTTTTCTCTCCTCAGACGGATGAGGAGCTGGATCCTGAGGATGTTGAATTTGATGAACATTACACCATAGAGACAAGAAGCAAATGTAAGTCACAATTGCCCACTTTTGTGTCTTCACTGTCACTGAGCACAAATACCATATTTCTACAAAATATTCAAGAAGCCACATTTTCTGTTGTGAAATTGAAAAGATACAGCCTCATATGTTTAACACATAAAAAATGTTGTCACCAAAGTCTGAATGGGAATGTGGCAGGTATAAAACATGAAGAAAACAGAAGGCGATTGTGTTTGGTATGATTTAGCAGGAATTGTTGTGTCATTGCTGTATATCACATTATCTGCGGATTGACCTTGCAGATACATGAATATTGCAGATGAGTCAGTGTGTCACACCAAAGAAATGTGATACATTTGGTATGATAGTAATATTACATAATAGGATAGTGTTCAGAACTATTTATATTTGCATGTTGTGCATTATTGTAGTTGTTGCCATGGTAGTGCTGTTACGGGATTTAGGTTGTGTTACTGACTGTGAAAAACCTGTGCTTCTGTCTAACGGTTGTTATGATCTGCAGTTTTTTGTTACAGTAATTATCAAACATGGAAATTTGTTAGTTTATTTAAAGGTAAAAATGGAAACCTACAAACATAAGTTAAAGCAAAGGGTTTCTGGTCATGGAAGTTGCCTCTTTAAAAGTTTAGTCTTAATTCTGAAAGATAGGACAGGCTCAGAGAAAGAGCATGAAGTAAGTATGGAATGATTTCTGTAAGTTTATGAGAAGAAAAATAACACACTGTGGGGTCACACAGTTTAATTGATATGATAAAATCTTCTCAGGTGACTAGTCGTGGCAAAATGGATCCATAGTCTATTGTTTCAGATACCATCTCTGCCTCGATCATCAGGGAATAATTCTCTGATGCAGAGAAGGTCTCTGAAATGTTTTACTACATATCCATATTGATTCTGCTGGTCACTCGAGATTTTATTGCATTTAGTTGCTGCAAAAGCATCAAGTAATATAGTCTGTTGATGGTAAGGAAAAACACAAAGCTTATATGAGAAGTTACAGAATTTTTGACACACAGGTTTAGCTGTATGCTGAGATTTCTATATCATATGCTTGACATGCTGTTTACATTCCAGCCAAGGTGCATGCGTTGTCAGTGGGTATGAATCGGTATGATAATAATAGCTATAATTATGCATTATTTTCTACAGCAAGTGCACACACTGGTGAGCATGGCGTGGATGAGTATCCTGATATCAGTGGAATTACCACTGCTAGGGTGAGTGATGTCAGCAGTGATGTGACATATAATACTACTAACTGTTCAGATACTCCATAGTTTCATTTGCAAACTTTATGTAATTTTCTAAGATTTAAATTTCTCTTTTGTTACCCTATTTTTTTATCTTTCCGTCTTTATATTATTGCCAATACTCTTGATTGTAAACTGATGTGCATTATAATTTTATGTGGCAGGAAGCAATGCGTAAGATGACAGAAGAAGATAAACAAAAAATAGCGCAGCAGGTGGAATACTTCCGCAGTGAGAAACTGAAATTTGATCGTGAGGTGGCCAAGTGGGATGACACTGGCAATGATATCATTGTCCTGGCAAAACACATGTGTATGATCATGATGGAAATGACTGACTTCACTCGGTAAGGCATCATAGATTCACATTATGTGATCACATCTTTGTGAATTTGTTGCATGAATTCATTTTATTGTTTGTAGGGGCCGTGGTCCTTTGAAAACAACAATGGATGTGATCAATGCAGCAAAGAAGATTTCAGAAGCAGGCACAAAATTGGACAAATTGACACGCCAGATTGCTGACCAGTGTCCGGAGTCATCCACTAAAAAGGACTTGCTGGCCTACCTCCAGAGAATTGCTCTGTACTGCCATCAGATGAACATAACTTCTAAAGTAAAGGCTGATGTGCAGAATATCAGTGGGGAGCTCATTGTTTCTGGGGTAAGGACCATAGTAGATGTTACTACATACAGTAAAACCTATATTGAATGATCCCAAGAGTATTATTCCATTCAACAAAAATGTTTAACTTCAAAATCATAAGAGAATACAATATTTAAATGTAAAATAGTCTCCTTCAGTATTTGTGAGTTTTTAGGTTTTCACGTTGGGTGTTTTATTATATGTGATTACTTACATTTCTTGGTAGATTGGCACATGGCATTATGACCCTTTCCTGTATAAACTTGATATAATGAGAATCTGTTCAGAGAAATATTCATTCTACATTCATTGTTTTTTCTTTACTGTGCAGTTTTATATTTTATGTTTACTTTTTAAGACAAATGTTTGCTTTTTCCTGCAGTTGGATAGTGCAACATCACTTATTCAGGCAGCAAAGAATCTGATGAATGCTGTTGTACTAACAGTGAAGTCGTCATATGTTGCGTCTACAAAATATCCACGCCAGGGCACAATCTCGGTAAGTTCTTTATGTCTGTATGTTGTAATATGGAAGCTAGATTGTGTGAGCTCACACTATCAGTTAAGAATAGATTCCACACCAGGGACTGAGATTAGCTTTTATCCAATGGATCCAACTGATTAGTTTTATGGTTTCCCATGATGACAGAAGCAGAGCCAGGTTTCAGAAGGTTGTGTTTTTTTAAACCAATGGATAAAATAAAATATTCAAGAATATGCATCAGTTTACCAGTAGTTCCCTCTACCACATGGTAAAACCAAAACTTGTGAAAGAAAAATCCTGTTCACAAAACTCCCTGCATTATTATGAGTAAAGAATCAGGTTCTCTAAACTCCTGGGCCCAGACATGTGAACATTCTTGAAAATTTAAAATAATCCATCCAATCTACAAGAAATTTGGAAGTGAATGGTTCAAGATATTTCTTTCAGTCATAAACAGATACTTTCAAATGTATAGAAAGCTTGAGGTGATATTTGTTTACATATAAGCTGCCCCTAGTATAATACGTATAAGTCAAATACTTTGCTGCATTAGTTGCATTACTTTTTGCTGTTGCAGATATTGAATAGTATACACAGATCAGCCTGTATATTTTTCTTTGCACAAAATTACATGCATGAGGGATGAATGTGATGCTGTTTTCTGTTTTCTGTTTTTGATTGTAGGAAGTTACTGACTCGGGTTTTGCGAAGCGCGACTCCTCGTTCTTTTACTTCCCCATTACTCCGTCATTTGCTATCCTTTACAGCGTGAACCTGGTTAGCGTTCTTGTTTCTGCATGGAAAATTATATGTGTTCCGTGTGACTTTGTATTAACAGTAACATTTAGTATTGCAGGTCACAGTATTATAATAATAAAGAGTAGGAAGTGGTGCAGCACTTCAGAGTACATGGTTTTGTAATGTATTGTTTGTGATTTTGCATTTCTGAAATAGTCCTTTAAAATCTTTACTCTGAATTCTTTGCTATGCTGTGTTAAGATGAACATGCGGAACAAATAAAGAACATTACAAGAGAAATAGGGTTAGAAATTAATGTAGTCAAAAGAGTTTACATGAATACATCCAAGAGAAAATTAAGAAATGAAGAAAACAGGGAAATCTCTATTGACCCTGAAAAATACAGAGAATGTAATGAATTTAAATATTTAGGTTCAGTAGTTACATAGGATAATGATTGTATTAAAGACATAAAAGCCAGAATCACTGCAGGAAGTAGATTCTATCAACCTTTATCTAAATTGATAAAAACAAGATATCTATCAAAACAATCTAAATTGCAGATTTATAATACATTAATTAAACCAATAGCGATTATAGTTGTGAAGCATGGGCCATGACTGAGAAAATGAAACATAAACTAAAATGATGGGAAAGGAAAATCATGAGGAAGATTTATGGTCCTGTTAAAGACCAAAATGGATGGAGAATCCGCAGTAATTTGGAAATTGAGAAATTGTACAACAAACCAAATATTGTAACTTTAATAAAATTCAGAAGACTTGAATGGGCGGGTCACTTAATTAGAATGGAGAACACCAGGACTGTGAAGAAAATTTTTATGGGAAAACCAGATGGGAGAAGAGATAGAGGGCGGCCCAGGTTCAGATGGTTGGATTGTGTCGAGAAGGATTTGGAGGAGTTAGGAGTACGGAGATGGAGGAAGAGAGCTGAAGATAGGGCCGAATGGGCTATCATATTGAAGGAGGCACTGGCTAAACTTTAAGAGCTGTATGCACAAGAAGAAGATGTTGTGTTAGACAGGATATGTAGTTCAGATGAAGTGACAAATGTGTACAGAAGTTCTGAAAGTGGCCACTTGGAAAACCAAGGGGACAGGAGGATAACAGAGCGATATGTATTTGAGGGGTGAGGGGTGGATGTAACTGGCTGAGGTTTTTGTTCAGTTGTGGGATTTAAAATTGGTAATGCTAGGTGTTGAACCTTAGGTTCTGCTATTAGAAAATCAGTTAATAAAATATTTAAGCTACATAAATGTCTCTTATGAAAAATAATTTGATAACATTTTTAATTGTTAGATCTGTAGGTCATAACAATTTTTTGTGTGCAGGAAAATGATTCTCTTTGACTTTTTTACCCCTCTTCCCAGCAGTAGTAGAAGCCTAACATTGCATTTCTTGTACTATGCTTCAAGAACTTTAGTTGAATACATGGAGAAAGGTCACTTCTCATGTCAGGGATGGCAGAAAAGATGCCTGTTTATATGGTGTCATTTATTTAACCCTTGCTAAGGAAGAATGGAAATTGTCTTTGTTGTTGCATGTAACAATAAGCAATAGATCAATATTTTTTACCATTTTTTTACTTTTTTGTATCTGAGCTGTATATGATGTAATGATTTGTTTTAAGTGCCACTATATTTTTAACCAACATTTTACAAGAATCTAACGTACTAATTGTGCTTTGAGCAGCATCACCAAACTTATTATTCATTACTGCTAAGATAACTTTGAAAATGTTAACTTAAAAACAGGGCTTGTTATAAATCATGTTGCAACTATTTCAAGGTCAGTGTATTGTAGAAACCTTATTATAACATAACTCAGCATCCACGCTATTACTGAAAATTAATCTGCTAACCATCCAGCCTGTAGCAGTCACGTTACTGACCAAACTAGGTTTACGAGATACTGACTGTGTTAAAGGAAGTTTAAGAAGGTTTGTGATTATTATTAATAAATAATGTGGTTAATGGTCGGTATGTGTCATTGTTAGTTGTGGTCTTATGGGTTGTGATGCTTTGTAGTCTTGTAGATAGTTACCATACATTTTGGAGAAACATCTCCTCTGTCTTATATCCTGTAGGCGCTGATGATATGTTCCTCCTGACTTCATAAGGCTTCCATTCTGAAGATGGAGGTTAGAGGTTACTATGAAATGTTGGTAACCACTTACAAGACTACACAGCATCGTGACCCATAAGATTACAATCAGCATTTTAATCAACATGGAAGCCTCAAATTTCGTGTATTGTTAATTAACTCTAGTCCATACTTAACCTTTAGAAGTATAAAAAAAATGTTAGGGAATTAAACTGGTCTGTTGTGTTTTAATACCAGTTTTCCTGTTCAGATTTGTTAGAAATTTACTGGCATGCTGATAAGACTTGATTTATATTCATTCTTTGCTTGTATATTTCTTGTAGTCACCAATTGTAGTGTGGAAGATGAAGGCTCCTGAAAAGAAGCCTCTGGTGAGACCTGAGAAACCAGAAGAGGTGCGTGCCAAGGTGCGCAAAGGATCACAGAAGAAGGTTCAGAATCCCATCAAAGCACTCAGTGAATTCCAGAGTCCCACTGAATCAATCTAAATGTTAAGGTTGTCTTCTCATTGATCAGGTAATGTTTTCATTATTTATTATGGGAGAACAATTGTTTTGTTGTTGTTTTCCTGTTAGGTCCCCAACTGTGTGACTACCACACTTTCCAGCTGGAAATTTTTGGGGAATGATAATTTTATTATTCAGCTGAAATATAATTCTCATTAATAAAGTGTAATTATCTTGTAATTTGTATTTTGTCCCTTGGCACATTTGTTCTTAGAAATGCCGTGTTTCGTCAGTGTCTTCACTTCTGTTAATCTCTTTAGCATGCCTGATAACCGTTAATTTAAAATTTGTATCATATGCAGTTCACAAGAAGAAACAGATCCCATTTTGCTTCTTGGTCTTTGATGGTCATGCCACATGACAGTCATCACAAATTAATGATGTTTTGCAACTGTGGCATACCTTGACCCTCATATATCCATTAACTATGAAAATGTTTCCAAAACCAGTTTTCCTCTTAAAGCATCATTAAACTGAAAAGTGTGGAAGTATGGATTCACATTTAATATGTTACATCCTTGCAAATGAACCTGAGAAGGAGAACCACTAATTGTAATGTAGTGGCTGTAGTGGTACGAATGGAATGGGTTAAATTGTTTTAGAGTATGCTGGTAACAGAGTAATGAGTATCAGATGATAACTGCTTTGGAAAGATATTGGTTCTATATGGAAAAGTGGATTTTATGTCCCAGAAATTGTTGATTTGGATTTTTCTCTTGTGCCGTCCTTGTTTTAAACCTGAGTTGCTATGATAAGTCATTGTCTCAGAATTATTTATACTATTAATTTTTTTATTTTGTTAAGATGATTTATATCTCTTTCTATGTTATTAATATGGAAGTAATAATAACATATTTGGAAAACAACAGCTATAACAATAAACTGAGAAGTGTTACCCTTTACATTCATTTCTTTATTTAAAGCCTACTTCTTACTGGATGACACTGGATCCAACAAAGTTCATGTCTTCTGAATCCTTTCCTGAAGTGGGATCTTGCCAGAATAGAAGAATAACAAATAGCTTACATATCTGTACACTCAACTTGTGTAAAACAGAACTGCTGAATGTGCAAGACTGCATGTAACTTGGCTGAAACATTGGTGTCCTGTTTTTATACACACATGTATTGAAATATAAAACAAAGGAACAGGAGTGTCAGGTATAAGGGTAAGTGTAATTCACCAGTAAAAACTGTATGTGCTTTTTTCTCCCATAAGCAATACTTTTACGAGCGCCAGACAGTCAGAAGAATAATTATAATGAACTTTGTTCAAGATTTGAACTTAATTTTATTCTTTCAGGCTTGTAAAGTTGACAGACTGAAGAATGCTGAGTCCATTGTGTATAATGACTTGCATAGCATAGCTTGACCAAACTGTTGTATAATCTATACACCCCTGACACATGTAGTTATGATATGGGAGGAAGAACACTATATAACCATATATAATATAATGCTTTTTACAATTTTACCACCTGAGAATTCAAGGGTTATCTTACATTTTTTAATAACCCATTAGTGTCCATGCTTGGTTCAATCGCTGTAGCAATATTGAATGAAATGTTTAACAGATGAAGTTCCTCTATTCTATTCTAAGTTATTCTAATGAATTAACAGACCAGCAACTGTGGAACTGTGTCACAATATATTAGCATGGTGTATATATATATATGTATATACATACACATATATACACAAGATTGTTACAGATCTTTATTAAATAATATAATTTCTTTATTATTTACAGTTGTCTGTCTGATTGTAGAGGTTGATGTTTGATTCCAGATAACTTTGTATTACAGTAAATGTGGTACTTCCCAAAAGCATAACATCAATGTAATTATCAGGTTTTGTCAGTATGAGGGGCAACCACAATTGGTGATGCTAATTAGCAGTCTGATTGATCAAGTCGTACTTCTTCGTCTGTCATGTAACACCAGTTATAACTTTTATGTCTGTCCTAAAACAAATTTATATGGCTTTAGCATTTACAGTATTCTTGCTCCTGACATTTCTGTTACATGAGAATTAAATGAGAAAGGGAAGCACAACAAGGGTTGAAACAAGGGTTCACAGATATACTGATGAAGACAAAGAAATCACATATTCACGTACCTTCATTCTCCATTGTGGATAAAAGATGTCGTAGATGTCATTAAACTGTGAAAGAGTTAGCATCCGATATGAAATACAAGGCAACAAAGAAGACATCATATTCAGCAAGAATTATTCTGTGTTGGTCATTGCTCTAAGTCACATCTGCATGGTGACTGCAACCACGTACTTGTAACAAGCAAGGAACTATGCATTGCCAAAGGAACATGATGGTCATGACATGAATTGTTTTATATAGCTCCTTTACTATTAACGAACTACAGGTAGTGCCTACCAATTACTTCAGAGAATACCCTTACTTTCTATGGATAAATCAAGAATATAGCTTTACCATGATCAACCATTTCTATTAACCCTTTAAAGCACTGTGGTAGCTGTATGTACCACCTGCTTTAACAAGGAGTAGCTCTGCATTTTTTATTTGTAGGTTTAATGTGATGCTCAGTGTAAACAGGGATTATTTCCTCAGACAGCATTAATAGGTTGATCTTTGTAATGAAGAACTGTTTTCTTTGAGGTTGGACTCAATTTTTAAATATTTAGGTGAGCTTTAGCTTCAAGAGTTAATCCTCATGTAAGTCACACCCAAGTTATTTATTACAAAATTATGCAAAGAAATACAAAATAAAATGTAGGATTTGAGGTTTTCACAGCAGGGAGTCTGAAGATTGCTATCTTCTGGGTTATTGCGACGTGTAGTCTGGTAGATTTATACCAACGTTTTGGAGGTCATACTGCCTCCATCATCAGGGCGATGATGATGATGATGGAGGCAGTGTGACCTCTGAAACGGTGGAAATCTACCAGACTGCATGGCGCAATAACACAGAATACTGCAATCTTCACAAAATAAAATGTAAATTAAGAGATAGAACATGGTGAAACATTTGTCAGATTTGCTTGATTATGAAAGATATTAAACTGAAGAAAGGTAATTGTTATGAAAGGTGTGATGTTTGTTACCTTAACAGTGTCTTTTGTCTACACTTGTCTATGTGACCAGGTATTTTAAAATGTTACCACTTAACCTCATTCTTGCACTTATAAAATTTGGTAATCCTGTTTTGAAATTATACATTGTAGGCCTACTTTTTAATATACTGTTTAAACTGTCTTGTGTATATAATAATGCCATCTCTTTCATTTCTTTGCATTGAAATTAATTATTGGGGTCCAGTTGAGTTTAACCACTACTGGGTAGAGAACTAGTTGAATATTGATACTTTTATAAATGTTTCCAAGGTAGTATTATAATAACTTTGCGGTATAGGGTGTTCAAAAATTATTGTTTCTAAGTATTAGAGTAATTTGTGCAGTGTAGGGTGTTCAGAAAGCAGTTACAGATGTATTTAAGTACATATCTTGTGTAGTACTTAATTTTGCATCATTTATGACATAAGTGTTGGAAGACTGATGGGCCACTCAAGTTTTATAACTCATTTCACCTTTCATTAATACTTCCTACAGTTCAACATTTACTTGCACTTATGACAAATTAAATTATTGCTTGTGAATATTCATCGCTGCCGCTGGATGTAAAAAGAGACAGGAAAAAACAGCAATTCTGAGTTACCTTTCCTGGTCCTAAATGGGATTATTTTCCCAAGAATAAGTATTAAAATAATTTCTGTATGCCATCTGTTTAAACAGAACTTTGTCCATTTATGTTGAAGTTGGCATTGAAAATGTTAATACATTGGAACCCACTCGGACAGCTTTTTTATCCATACCATTGGTGCTGGGTTATTAGTACTATTGTTTTTACTGTATTATTAAATCTTTTATATCAACATTCAGTGTAGTGCAAAAATATTATAATCATGTGTAGTATATTTTATCCTAGACAGATGAGCTGAAGTTGGTTAGTCAGTTAAGTGACTAGCTATGGATTGGATGTCTGTTCTGTGCCACCCAAAATCTGGCAGCTCCTGGTAATGCTGAAGTTAAGAATGTGTCGAACTTCACCTTCACTCCCCATCCAACTTTATGGTATGGTTCCAGGAACAGTTTTACTTTGTAGAAGGTACCTACTAACCTCAGTATGTTATATTTAATGATTCCATTCTACAGGATGTAGAAATGCTGCCAAGTGATGACTTCATTATGTGCCTCATTAGGAAACCAAACTGAAATCAGTTTTGGTATTCAATTTTTTCTGCTCTCTTATTTTATTTTTGCTACTTCTGTTCTTTTGTCTCCTTTCTCAATTATGTTTTCATTGCATTTTAAGTTTGCTTATTGGAGTTCCTGCAATATCTGCTAAGAAAATTTAGGAATTATAGAGGCCCAATACGGTCAGTTGCAAAGAAGTTCCAACACTTACGTCTTTAATTATACAGAATACAATATTGTAAGTTAGTAGCTCGGTAAGAAAGTAATTTTTTAACAGCCTGTAGGTATTACTTTTATTTTGTATGAACAAAGTACATTTACTTATGTCTTCAGCAGTTTATGTAATTATGTAATTTAAAAAAGAATAAATTATTTTATTAGATGCAATTCTGCTGATTTGTAGGCTAGTCATGTAGTTTATAGTTCTTGCTTTAAGTATTTTGATTTTAGAACAATTGCTTAAGGAAAGATGCATTTAAATTGGTTATTGATGGTCAGTTTACTAATTTGAAATGTTTGGTAAATGTGTAAAGTACATTTATCTGTGTAGAGTGGGGCAGCTGGAAATCCAATTTATGTCTATTATTGATTTATTTACTAGTTATAGTAATTAAGATACTGCATACCTTTTCCACTGCCATATAGGGTTGGCTGTCTGCTGTGAGGAGTGTATGTATACACACGCACACTGTATATAATCGTAAGTTTGTTTTACCATCAAGAACCAACCATATATATTATCTTTATTATTTTGCAGTGGTTACTTTGTGACTAAAATTAGGCTTGGTGGATAGTATTTAAAGATTTTACACAAAAGAATGTAGTCTTGGACATGCTGTGAAACATTTTATATCAAGTAAAGCAAAATTAATATTCAATACTTGTTCTTAATATTTTGTTTTACCTAAATCATGCTGTGTATGTGAATGGAGTGTGAAGTATGTAGATGGGTTCTTTCAGCAGTTAAATCTGATGTTGAAACTAAGTGATTGTCTCTGCCATGGATTTTATTGCTCAGTTGGATTTGAAGTTTCATAATTATGTAAATGAGACAGGAAGATTCAATATTTTTCATTTAAATTTTGCAGTTAGTGCAGCCAGAAGACTTGAAAACTTAAGAGAATGTAAAAGTCAGAGAAACTGATCTTAGATTTACAGTTTCACATTTTAATTCTTTTACTTTCTATTGAGTTTCAAACTCTAGAGTATTTAAATGAAGATGATAGAAGTGCTCTGCGAGTTCCACAGAGGTACAAAAGCGCTAAAAGCATTGCTGGGCGGCATAATTCTTGGTACATGTATGTTCCTTGGTTTTGCACCCTGGACTTTTTGGTGAATGAACTCTTCTTTATACTTAATACAGTGAGGATATTTGTTGGTGGTGCTGATGGTTTGACATGGCCTTTCCATTCTGTGTGGTCACATCATTGTCATGTTTCCTAGTCCTATTAGTACAGCCACCAAATATCTTCATGGTATGTGAATAGCTGGTGCAGAAATGAAGATAGAAACATGGTAGCCCATCATGCAGGTGAGATTAAATAAAAGGGATGGAAGTGGGTAAGGTAACATTGCCATGGATGTTAATAAACGTTACTTAGAATTCCAGCATCTTTGTAATTGTAAATGCTAAGTTTGCTATATGCAGTATTTTGGTTGTTTTTTATTTGGTGGGGGGGGATACAATTTTCATATCTAGATATTTGGATAGAACTCGTGATGTGTAATTTCCTATTGTGCAGATTAATATCAACACAGGTTTGTGTCGTTAATGTTACACTTAAGTAAATCCATGATTTATCTCCATATGAAATATGTGCCCAGTTCCATTTGCTCATAGTTGTTGCTGTAAACTAGAAGCTTACAAAAATACATGGCCTCCAGTGTCATAATGTATGTACTGTGTCTTGAAAAGTGGTTCAAATGGTTGTCATAGTTCAGGCAGTTGGTCGCTGGCTTCTTCCTGCAGAGGCTGCAGTTCACACCCAGGGCAATTTGTGGACAAATTGGCACTGGGACAGGTTTTACTCTTGAGTTCTTGAGCTTTCTCTGTCAATATCATTCCACTCCTGCTCTGTACTTATATCTCCTGGGGGCTGGATAATGGGCCTATTAGCAGCTGCAGTTTCACAGAGACATACTGAAAACTTTAAGGGAGATAGAATTTGGGAGGATAATTGAACCTGGTAGTCCTTTGGGATCCATAAAAGCAGAGATTTTCTTGAATAGATTTAATAATAGCATTTCAAAGTGAGAAGGTGAATAACATCTTTTCAAAGAAGGCAGCCAAAGAGTTAAGTGTTGAGGAAGGAAACACTTGCAGATGTTCACTACATGCTGCAGATTTATTTTTGTGGTAACGATAAAATTATTTAATTAAAATTATAAGTGTTTATTACCACAAAGAATATTATTGTGAATCCATTGAGACTGTTAACAGAACGTTGGTGAAAGAGGTAAGAGCACATGTTGCATTTAGTAACCATGAAAACTGGAGCCACCCCATTTTTACACTGGACTTTGTATATTAATTTTTTTCTATGTGGCTATGCTGCAGTGTACTTAACTTTGTCTTTTTCCAGTAGTTATGTATTTTTATCGTGTTAATAACATTATTGGTTAGGTATCAGTAGGCTATGAAATGTGTTTATATTTAGAGTTTTTATTTAGATTTATTTGTATGAAATTGGTTACTGAATTGTATTCTGTTGCTAATGTTATACATCACTCCTTGATTTTAGTTTGCTCTCTCTGTCGCTTTTACACACTGTTTTTCCTGAACTACATGTTTCAACTAAGTTCTCGATGCAAATAATGTGGGTTTTTTAATGATATATTGTATTTTGTTGTTCAACAGCAGGGCATGAAATATGCAACACACTAATCCACATATACAACAATATATCAGCAGAACTTGTCATGCTATAACCCATTGTTTGAAAAATTTAAGTAAAATACTATTGGTAGTTGGTATATTTTATCTAAGATTTTATTTTTATGAAATACAGTACCAAGTGCAAGAAATTATTACTTGCACTGGAAATGTTCAATAGTTCTTGTACAATCTGAGAACCTAATGATGAATGTTTGTGGTTGAAACATGTACTTCATTAATAGTGAACAGTGACAAGAAATTAAAATCGAGAGGCAGAAGCAACATACTGGGGTGCTGCTTTACAAAATTGATGTTTTGCATTATACTATTGTCTTAATAACTACAAGTGTTATCAGTGCATTTACAAACACTTATGTAAATGCATTTTTGAAGATTTATGGGATAATTGAGGATGTGTTTTAATTTGTAATTTTAGGTTTTGTATTTCTGGTTCAGGATGATTTACTGATAAATGGTAAGATGTGTTTGATATATCTGATCGGGCATCTTTGAAATTATTTTGTACTTTAAAAAACACGTTTGAAAGTGGTTTTTAAAATACGTTCCAAAAAAAATAGAAAAATAATGATGTCGACCCTGCCAGGATTCGAACCTGGAATCTTCTGATCCGTAGTCAGACGCGTTATCCGTTGCGCCACAGGGCCCATATTAGAAAATATCTTTATTACCCGGACTTTTTTTAGAGCAACTGCTGCCTATTGACGTGATATCTTAATTTTTAATGCTGTAACTTCTTTTGTGAAAAACCTTATTATATCCATCTCAGGGATTCTATATGACACAGAAAAAACGACATTTTAGCTTCGTTTGAAGTGGCTATGTTCATCTAATTACTCTCTTTGTATTTGCAGTGCCTAACAATATCCATAATTAAAATTGGAAGAAGTAGGTCAAGTCGTTGAGACAATACAATAGTAAAATAAATAAAAAAAAGAAACGCCCGAACAGGGACTCGAACCCTGGACCCTTAGGTTAAAAGCCTAATGCTCTACCGACTGAGCTATCCGGGCTTCAAAGTTTTTGTCTACATATTCTCTATATAAGATAATTAATTAATACAGCATTCATTACATAGAAGAATGTTGAATAATGTATGTATTAATATTTTATTTTAATCACAGTGCACTAGAAAACTACCATTACTTGTATGACATGAAATCAATTCTGTATAACACTATTATGTAACGAATCGATGACGTAATGGCAGTATGATTCACTAGATGGCAGTAGAATACAAAAGTACTCTTAGTTTCATTGTTTCTGGCGTAGATAATTTGGGTAAACATTACATTCATTTCCTTATTGAATGCGTGCCCAAAAATGTAGGAAACTTGTCGAGAGAGTTTATCACATAATTTTGCGTTTGGCAAAATCTTATTCTTCGTCATGTGATGGTGAAAATTGTCGTTTATAAGCGATGTAATTTGAATACCAAATTTTCTCGTTGCTGGAAGCCGGTGTAAAAAGATGGACTCCTGCTAGGTAGTAACATCGCACTAGTTTTATATACCGCTTAAATTCTTTAAAACTGCATTCACTCCGAGACCAACCAAGTAGACTTTTTCTTATTATAATTATAATCATTTTTATCCGTTGTTTCTTGTGTTAGATTCCTGGTTATTATTTCTCATTCTTTCCGTAGTCTGCAGCTCTTTCAAATTACGTTTCTCTTCATTTCTCTCGTATACTTTCTCCTTCATTTTTTATTTCTTGCGATTTACGTTTCATCAGTTTGGTACTTTGGTTTGCCTCTGATTTTTCTATTCTCTTTTGAGTTCTTTCTCTGCGTAGCTCTAGTCTAAGGCTTTTATCTTCTATTTATTTGTGCTTATTTATTTATTCACCTTTGAACAATGTATAAGTAACACACACACATACATAATTACAAATTTTATCCACTAGGCAGAAAGTCGCGTAACAGTGTTACCATGGTGACTATAACGATTTATACAAAACACATCCACATAGTCATAATCATTATCCTATTAACATGTAAGATAATAACTATTCAATAATCATGTGTGCAGAAACAAGGACGCCTTTATAATCATTTATAGGGAACACGACAGTCCTGCAATGTTTTTATTTAAAATATTGAACTGTGTTCACTGCATTATGAAATGTTAGAAGGTGACGCATGTGAGTAACAGCGGGAGAGCTGAATGACGTTATTGAATCAATCACTCTGTGAACTTCTCAGTCTTTCACATGTAGACCAACAAATAGTCTTCCGTCCCAGCCGGTTGTGTTCTTTGCTTCCAAGAATGTCTCCGCGAATCACAATAGTAAACCAACCGGCTTGACCGGGATTCGAACTTGGAACGTCGAGGTGCATGCCACTTGTCCTGTTTATTCTAACTCTCACTGAAAACCTTCAATTTATCTGTGACACGTTTCGCAGCTTTTAGATCCGTCCTCCTGCTTTAATAACCCCATTCCGAATGAATGTACCGACTAAGTTAAAATTATTTTGTTTGAAACCTCGGGCCGGAAACTGTGCTTCAGTGTGTTTAATATTTTTAAAAATGTATAGAGGATGGAAGACAAATATTAATTTAATTATCTATCGTGCTGTAGCCTCTGTAATGCGGAAACCTCATGAAATGTGTGTATACTGTCTCGGTTGGAATTGGTGGTATTTGTAAATAATTGACTGTCGTGTAATAAGTAACATTTCATTGTTTTCGAAGAAAGTGAAAATTGTGTTAATCTTTTACATTTCTCGTAGTGTCCGTGGAAGAACAGGGGACAAATTTCCAGACGTGCATTTTCCGTTTCCTTTCCATTTCGGTAACAACGCATTTCTGCATCAGTTCAAAGCAGTGTTAATTTTTTTAAATCTGTGTTTTTTTTTCGCGAATTTGCTACGTGTTGTTACATACCTGCCTGTCATGATTCTGAAACTTTGTTGCCAAGATATTCAAAAGCAGCTTTGTTCGGTCGCTTCTAAGAATTATATTTATAGAATAGCCTATTCGTCTTTCTTCCGAAGTTATGTAACAACAAATCAAGTTTGATTCCTTGAAACTGATAGGGCATGCATTTTTATTGTTTTTTTTTCTAACGGTGGATTTGTAATTTAACTCATGTGAATTGCTACAGTTTTTACATTATTCGTTCTACAAAATATGAGCCCAACTCTGTTAAGTTTGGTTACTGTCTTCCACAGAAATGTTATATAATATTAGTAAGAAGCGAACTCATTTTGAGAATATCATTGATGTAATAATAACCACAACGTTTTCGCCGGCTAAAGTCAACTCCGATCGCGCTGCCATCTAGCGGATGTTAATTGATTCACTACGTACATCCTCTTATCTCTAGATAACGAAACATGCAATTTTAACGCTAACCAGGATAGTGGGTCTTTTACATTTATTTTTGACATTGCATTTTCTTCGTCTGGTGGTGTGCCCTACTGGTAGTATGACAAAACTTCAACTCTTTCAAGCAAAACCAACCAACCAAAAAGCTAATTAAGAAAGAGGCACTTCTCCAATACAATGAGCAACTGGTTAGCTAATGCTGTTTGAGGAAATAATTCCCGTTTACGATGAGAATCATTTGAAACCCATGAATTAAAAAAACAACAACACACAGTTAAAGCATGTGGCACATATAGCTTTGAAGGTTTAATTGAATCATACACCTGTACAGAGGGCGAACAGAGGTTTATGACGTCACTATCTCGTTGCCCTGTTTGCCTTCTCGTTTATCCCGAGACATCATGTGAGCCTACCACCATTAGAGACGTCTGCTGCTGTATTGTGGGTGATGGCGGTTTTACAATGATTCTTTTATGCATTTATGCATGTTATTAGCCGGAGTGAACCAGTGTGATTCAACTGTGGGCTATTTGTTATACGAATTCTTTGAAGTCAGGTTGAATTTCCAACAAAATTGCAGTGGTTTGTGTTATTCCTTTCCATGAAGAACCATCCTGAACAGATAAAGTAAGAAAAACTTCTCAGTATTAAAGTATGGAAATCTGAGTGCATGTTAATAGACACATTATTTGGTATAATGTAGAAGCCACGCTATTTAATATAGAAGGTCCAGATTTTATTTATTTATCCCACAATGTTTGGATAGACTGTGCCGGTTTGACAGGCGTGTTGGGATTGTGTAATCGAACAATTTCCATGACATGAAAACGTGTTATATTGGCAAGCTGAACGACTATTTGCTTCTAAAGAAGGATGTGGGGTGAGACTTGATTCGTACCTAAAACATAACACAACGCGTCATCATTACAAGGATTAATTGGTTAATGATGTTTGAAGATACAATCACTCTTTATTCCGAGAATCATACAGATACGAACCGTATGAGTTGGGATAGTTTAATCAGTGTGGTGGATGACTACGGGATGGATGACGGGTTTGATTCCCCGAAAGGGCAAAATATATTTTTCTCTTAGCTCAGCGTGCAGACCGACTCTGGGGCCCATACAATGAGTGCCGTGGGAGTACTTTTCCGGGGATAGCTAACTTCTCACTTCCGCCTACAGCTGAGGTCAAGAAAGACTGGAACTATACCTCCACTATCCCGTATGTCTTCATGGCGTGGTGTTTTATAAATACCACGTACAGCTCTGCCTTTCTCTAACGAAACCCATAAATACACTGTCAACAAAATGCTGAGTTATTGAATTTTGAAGTAGTTGGTACGTGTTGAAACACTATGCTCAAATACTTAACCGGCTGTGAAGGGAAACTCCACAATGGTTCCAACTCTGTGACGGAAGTCGGTCAACTCTACCGCGCACAGACGGCAAATAAAGTAGACACTCCTTGTAGAACCCGTCTTTTTATTTCTGCATACATACCAGGTAACTAAAAGCACAGATTTGCAGCAAACACGTTTATGACGTCTACATTTCCATTTCGTTAGCGAGTTAAGTGGTGCATTGTCATAGTTAAGTCTAAGTTTTGAAATTTCGTGAACTGGAATATTAGGAATTGCATTTGGACTCTTCAAAGGTTAAACAGATAGACGTGTCAAATGAAGATTATTCGTAGAGTACTTATTTTAAAATTACATATTACTGCATGCTCATTTGTTCTGAGGAGTGGGAATGGTGTCGCTGGGATCGTGGGTTCGAATCCCACTCAAGCCATGGATGTTTTTCTGTGTTGTTCTGTCCTGTGTACAGGTAGAGGCCTTGCGACGGGCCGATCCCTCATCCAAGGAGTCCTAACGAATGTCTATAGATGAAGCCAACGAAAAGTTGAGCAGTGCTCAGACACTTGAAGAACGGGTCGTTCTCAGTATCCCCAGTATGGAGAAGAATGTGAAGCTAATTGTCGCTCAGCTAGTCATGAAATTTAACACGAAATTTTATTTAAATGTTCAGTAAAGTCATCCTTCGGACAATATTCTGGGCCAAATGATGAATCCTTACTATTGCACGTAAAGAGTTATAATTTCATGGTTTATATTGCCTTCAAATAAATATGAAGGTTTCTGCTAAATTACTGTGCGCATTTAAGATAGCTCAGAAATGTCTTGCCAAGGACATGGAATCCAATCCCTCATCACCTTGGGGTAAACTGTGCAACAAAAAAAGAAAGGATCCAGCCTTTCTTACAAAAGCGAGGTCGGAGGGGAGAGGAACTCAACTGTCCCTTTTATTGGTTTCTGTTATTGCTGACAGACGTCCTCGATTTTGTGACGATGGTTGGACGAAGATGCTCAAAACAAGGCACAGACCAAGTGACGGCTTACAGCAAGACACAATGGATTCAGGGTAACCAAAGCACCAGTCCCGATCTTTCAGTACCTGATTTATCTGAAAAAGAATCCCCTCAAAAGATAGTAGCAAGCACAGATTTTGGATTCTCGTGAAGATGAGACTGTCTTCTGGGATGCCTCACCCTGATGATGGAGGCTGAAAGCGCCTCCGAAATGCCGGTAAATTTACGGCGAAACATGACGCTTGACACAGGCTCTAAATGCGTAATTAAACAAGAAACAAGCACATAAGTGTAACTGAAATGGTCACTCGTTTGGTTTTTGTAAATATGTGTTGCAAAAGACGCTGTTGTGGGTTTCTTAATGTACTTTAATTGCACTTTATAAATTGCGTAAGTTAATCCCGAACGAGACGCCGACTTTGAGGAGTGAACTGAAACGGTCGTTCATCGGGGACGGTTTAAAAGAACATCAACGTAGTTCTTTGATTAGGATCTGAAGCTCGTATCATCTTTAATACGACGACAAACATTTTTACTTTTTATATTTTACTAGACGATGGTTAATATTCAAGAGAATTTTAATTCAAATTTTTACTTTTCTGTTTCATATAAAATACGACGAGCTGAAAATCGAATCCTGTTCTTCGAGAGACGAAGAGCCTCTGCTAACGAGGAAATTGCAACCTTAGTAGGACTTCCGTTTTCTTGTAAATTTATTTGTAGATGAATCTGTCTCTGCGATTTATTTGTACGCAAAGAATATTTGTGCGTGAAATCATTTCGTTCCTTTCCAAACCGATTCTCTTTGGTCTTGTATTTCAGTAGTCTGAACCTGTTCTACGTAGTAGATTTCTGACTCGATTTAGAAGGCTAGACGAGTTCCTCCGGCCTTCGTTTATTTCGCCGTAGACCACCAAACGAACTGACGTCCGGTCGGAGTCTTGAGTCGACAGTTTCATATAGCGATAAGGTAAGATTGGGTACTTATTTATATGGGGCAGGAATTTCGCTCTTAACAAATAAGAACCGACAGTGCCAATATTTATACGAGTCGTTAGCGCGAAGTGTGTGATGAGGATAAGGCCTGTTCGTCTGAATGTTTTATCTCGACACTACTCGAAGGATGAAAACAGTGCACAGAACTTCGTTTTGGGTCCCATAACACCAATGTAACCCATGGATTATATGAATCTGAAATCGAAATTTTTAAGAATAGCGAATTATTCCTGTAAAATGCAGATGTCGTTAAGAGAGAGAAATTTAATTTAAAATACTTTTCTTTGTGTTGAAAATGTTTAATGATATAGAAGGGATAGATAATTACAAATTGTATGTATTTTTATAATTATCAGTAGGATATTGTATTTGCAGTAGATTAATATCAAAACCAATAATGTAAGAAGAATCGATGTAATGTAAGAACGTCTTTATATATCAATACGAAATTAGAACACGTCTGTGATTATTTGTTGGGGGACCACTAAGGTCTTGAAGGATGTGGAGTGGACGAGTCTGGCAGAAGTAAATATTTAAGTTAAAAACAAATTCTCTAGCATAACTGGGCTGAAATTAAAAACATTATCGCTAACCTATACTGAAATCCAATATTTAAATCCATCATGTGAGATGTTACATTGTCTGAAAAAATTGCGTCGAATCTGTTTCATCGCTGCTTCAAATTAGGATTGAAATTCGTGCCCGTAAATTTTTAAAATGCGATGAGCAGTTACCCGGTCCTCTTTCTCTCGGGATGTTTTGACGCTGAAGATTTACGAACACTTGTCTATTAATTTTATTAGAAAAATGTAAACAGATGACAAATGAACGTCGTCTTACGTTAGTTTCCATCCATTTAAGTACATTGAATGTGAATGTTTGAATACGTCAGAAATTTTCCGATAAATCTGTCAACATATGACTCCATATGAATTTTTGCACTAAAATGGCTGAATGGTCACTGTATCTTAAAGTTGTTCCTCGTGGTAATATCTTTTAATGTGCACTGTCAAATGGGGGACATCTTTATTGGATGTCGTCATATCCTGTCAGTCGTGTTCCCCCCCAGTGGCCGACGTTTCAGACGTACTTCAGGTTTAACTCAGTCCATGGACCACATTCCTCCAGAGAAGTTGATAGTTGTTTAGGAAGTCAAGAAATTCCCCTTAATTTATGGAAACGGCTGTTAAATAGGGCCTTCAACGGGAAACAGCCTGCTTGAACATAAATATTTTCTCTTCACTGGAATTCTGTTTTGAAGAGACAAATTTACGTTTACGTTTAATCGTTTGTTTTAAATTATGTGAAAATGAACAGAAATACTTGAGCGTGATAGTTTACGAATCGTGTGAAGAACAATTTTGAGAAATCTTCCTTTACTTTTTACACGTTAATAGCAGAAATATACAGCAGCAAGTAAAAATGATTGTAGAGTCATTCCGAAATAACACAAATAATATATATAACCGTTGTTAGCTGTTTGTTGCTACATTTACGTACTTAACGTGAACTACAGATGTTGGAAATATGGTAACATTATTTTGGTACACCCTGTACTCTGAAGGAAGGCGAAAATAAAGATTGAAATTAAATGTTGTGTTCGGTAATAAATTGGTTTAAGTATGGGGCGACAGATGTTGTGTTCGGTAATAAATTGGTTTACGTGTGGGGCGACATTTTCTGGTGTCATAAATGCGTGGGTATTTTTTAAACTTGAATAATTGCACGTTTTGAACGGAAACCTTCTGAAAGGGACTTAGGACCTCGTCTGAGGGCGTGTCGCTGTAACAGTGTGTGGAAGATACTGGATACCGTTAGGTCTCATTTTTGTGAATGTGGTTCAAGTCCTTTTGTACTGCAAAATTGTTGGTCTGCATGCTCAGATCTAGGATTTGCAGACTATTTGTCTGTCTGGAACTAGACAGTGTTGTCTTAGCTGGTCACCTTCAATCGTCATTGAGATATGTCACTCAATTCTCACACGTATATAAAATGTATTGAAGTAAACAATGCTAAAAAAAGTAAAATGATGTATGTACTTTAATAATGGACGTACATAAGTAGGTCATAGATGTGACATACATGTTAAGTCGAGACCTGGCCTTGATATTTCTTAGTGAAAAGGGAAGTCCGTCTGTAGTGATTTCCTTTTAGGCCTAATGAAGTCCATGTCTGAGCACTTGTTCGCTGTCTCAGGTCAGGTATAGTGAGTTGTAGCAATTGGTTATGCCCAGAGATCGAGTACAGTAAGAATGGAACACATCAGCAACTAGCAGGGCGTTACTTCTCTCTCTGTCTCTCTCTCCATCTGTCAAATGTCTGTGAGGAATTCGAGGGGCGAGAAGCACTTAACTTTCCGCCAACATTTACTTTGAAGATTAGGTTTTCGTGTTGAAGAGTTGGTGTAGGTTCGATATTTAAATTTTGTCCAGGACCCACATATGCCTTGTCCCTTCTTTGAACCCTACTTGCTGCCCAAGGGGAATCTCAACATTAACCACCATCTAATCCCAATACTCGAAGGATGAAAACAGTGCACAGAACTTCGTTTTGGGTCCCATAACACCAATGTAACCCATGGATTATATGAATCTGAAATCGAAATTTTTAAGAATAGCGAATTATTCCTGTAAAATGCAGATGTCGTTAAGAGAGAGAAATTTAATTTAAAATACTTTTCTTTGTGTTGAAAATGTTTAATGATATAGAAGGGATAGATAATTACAAATTGTATGTATTTTTATAATTATCAGTAGGATATTGTATTTGCAGTAGATTAATATCAAAACCAATAATGTAAGAAGAATCGATGTAATGTAAGAACGTCTTTATATATCAATACGAAATTAGAACACGTCTGTGATTATTTGTTGGGGGACCACTAAGGTCTTGAAGGATGTGGAGTGGACGAGTCTGGCAGAAGTAAATATTTAAGTTAAAAACAAATTCTCTAGCATAACTGGGCTGAAATTAAAAACATTATCGCTAACCTATACTGAAATCCAATATTTAAATCCATCATGTGAGATGTTACATTGTCTGAAAAAATTGCGTCGAATCTGTTTCATCGCTGCTTCAAATTAGGATTGAAATTCGTGCCCGTAAATTTTTAAAATGCGATGAGCAGTTACCCGGTCCTCTTTCTCTCGGGATGTTTTGACGCTGAAGATTTACGAACACTTGTCTATTAATTTTATTAGAAAAATGTAAACAGATGACAAATGAACGTCGTCTTACGTTAGTTTCCATCCATTTAAGTACATTGAATGTGAATGTTTGAATACGTCAGAAATTTTCCGATAAATCTGTCAACATATGACTCCATATGAATTTTTGCACTAAAATGGCTGTATCTTAAAGTTGTTCCTCGTGGTAATATCTTTTAATGTGCACTGTCAAATGGGGGACATCTTTATTGGATGTCGTCATATCCTGTCAGTCGTGTTCCCCCCCAGTGGCCGACGTTTCAGACGTACTTCAGGTTTAACTCAGTCCATGGACCACATTCCTCCAGAGAAGTTGATAGTTGTTTAGGAAGTCAAGAAATTCCCCTTAATTTATGGAAACGGCTGTTAAATAGGGCCTTCAACGGGAAACAGCCTGCTTGAACATAAATATTTTCTCTTCACTGGAATTCTGTTTTGAAGAGACAAATTTACGTTTACGTTTAATCGTTTGTTTTAAATTATGTGAAAATGAACAGAAATACTTGAGCGTGATAGTTTACGAATCGTGTGAAGAACAATTTTGAGAAATCTTCCTTTACTTTTTACACGTTAATAGCAGAAATATACAGCAGCAAGTAAAAATGATTGTAGAGTCATTCCGAAGTAACACAAATAATATATATAACCGTTGTTAGCTGTTTGTTGCTACATTTACGTACTTAACGTGAACTACAGATGTTGGAAATATGGTAACATTATTTTGGTACACCCTGTACTCTGAAGGAAGGCGAAAATAAAGATTGAAATTAAATGTTGTGTTCGGTAATAAATTGGTTTAAGTATGGGGCGACAGTTTCTGGTGTCATAAATGCGTGGGTATTTTTTAAACTTGAATAATTGCACGTTTTGAACGGAAACCTTCTGAAAGGGACTTAGGACCTCGTCTGAGGGCGTGTCGCTGTAACAGTGTGTGGAAGATACTGGATACCGTTAGGTCTCATTTTTGTGAATGTGGTTCAAGTCCTTTTGTACTGCAAAATTGTTGGTCTGCATGCTCAGATCTAGGATTTGCAGACTATTTGTCTGTCTGGAACTAGACAGTGTTGTCTTAGCTGGTCACCTTCAATCGTCATTGAGATATGTCACTCAATTCTCACACGTATATAAAATGTATTGAAGTAAACAATGCTAAAAAAAGTAAAATGATGTATGTACTTTAATAATGGACGTACATAAGTAGGTCATAGATGTGACATACATGTTAAGTCGAGACCTGGCCTTGATATTTCTTAGTGAAAAGGGAAGTCCGTCTGTAGTGATTTCCTTTTAGGCCTAATGAAGTCCATGTCTGAGCACTTGTTCGCTGTCTCAGGTCAGGTATAGTGAGTTGTAGCAATTGGTTATGCCCAGAGATCGAGTACAGTAAGAATGGAACACATCAGCAACTAGCAGGGCGTTACTTCTCTCTCTGTCTCTCTCTCCATCTGTCAAATGTCTGTGAGGAATTCGAGGGGCGAGAAGCACTTAACTTTCCGCCAACATTTACTTTGAAGATTAGGTTTTCGTGTTGAAGAGTTGGTGTAGGTTCGATATTTAAATTTTGTCCAGGACCCACATATGCCTTGTCCCTTCTTTGAACCCTACTTTCTGCCCAAGGGGAATCTCACCATTGACCACCATCTAATCCCAGGGGCTAAAATACGTGGATATTTTCCTGGCGTCGTGTTTAGACAAAGAGACATTTAATATCGGCGTCCAAGCGATCCGCTCTTATCTGCTACCTGAGGGTAGGCAACCCATGTCGCTG